CTTGTCCCAACTTTTTTGGGATTTGTTGACGCCATGAAATTTGGAAAAAGCAGATTTTTCCCTTAAAATGATACATTCTCTCAGTTTAAACTTTTGATCTGTGATTTGTGTTCTATTCTGAATAAAATATTAGATGTTGGCACCTCCACATCATTGCATTCAGTTTTTATTCACAATTTGTTTAGTGTCCCAACTTTTTTGGAATCCGGTTTGTATATCATGACTAGGAATGTGCGATATGGCATAAAATTCATATCTTGATATGTATTGTGAAGGGTGGCAATAATGATATATATTGCAATATGTTTTTGGTATAAAACTTGCAGTAGGAATTTTAAAAAAGCATAGGGTGTCCTTTTGCCATAATTTATTTTGAATTAAGAAAATTCCACTACTAGGTCCAGCGTTTTTAAATAATAAACAAATCATGTATTAGGCTTTTTTCTTGTAGTGCAAAACAGTGCAAAAGATATCAAATGTCATTTTAGCCATATGTTTTAAACAAAATATGTTATTAACTCAACAGTTTCCAGTCATCTCACTTAAGAAATGAACAGCAACAGAGCAGCATGTTACATATAAAAAAGTGCACACTGAAAACACTTAACAAAACTCAAATTCAAAATCTCGCTGTCATGAGTCTAACGATTGTTGGCCAACAACACCAGCTTGTCCACAGTCTCTGGCTTTAACAGAGACCGGTGGCATGAAACAATGTTGCCACCAATGCTAAATACCCTTTCTGAAGGAGCACTCATGGTTGGAATGCAAAGGTATTTCTTGGCCAGTATTACCATTCTTGGAAAATTAGCCTGGTGCAGTTTCCACCAGTCCAATGGGTCAGTTTCTGACAGATTAAGGTTTAGCTTCCAAAGCAAAGGAGGGGTTCCTTCATTGGGCACTTCCTTCTGCTTTAAGGAGAGCTGACACAAAATGGTGACCAGTTTCCTCTGTGGCTTTGACCAGAGAAGGTCCCTCAGTAAAATCACACAACACAGCATTCTTTTCAAAGATCTGACAGACTTTTTGTTTAGCACAAATGCACTCTAAAGCTGACCAACACTTACTTTAACTTTCAACGGAACACAGCGTTTTGCTCATGCGTCTGAACTCGGCAACAGTATGGCAAGCCGGCCGTAGTTAGCGTGTAGCTTCTCTACTTAGCTCTAGAAGAAAACAAACTTTAACATCTTTTACGCAGTTTTCAACAAAAAAAAAAACGTAACAATTAAATCTGACAACTGATTTTATATCATAGACGGCGGTTAGCCGGTAAAATACAGTTCTCTATCATAGGCTAAGTGTGTTGTTTCTACCATGCACCGTATATATTGCACATTCCTATGTCAGACATATTTCTTCTAATTTTACTTGGCATGAATTGATTGTCAAATGTAAATATTAATTCGGTGTTGGTGATTAGGTAAAGATTCTTGATGATGACCCACATTTTTGGAGTGGGATGGGTTAACAAATAAAACAATCTAGTGTGTATTTACATAAATTCCCATGATGGATTCATCACGCATTTTTCTGAATGATTAACAATGCCCTGCAGACTTAATTACAACAAATGCAAGCTGTAAGTCACGTCACGCGTGAATTATAAATGAGGGCTTCTGTTACCACTGGTCACACTGGGGTGACCTTGACTGTTATCTTCTGTTTTTTGTACTAGTTAATGTAGATGTAATCATAAGCAAGAAACCTTAAAAACAGAGGTTGTTGAACAGGACGTTGACAACGGTAGTATACAGGAAGATCTATTTAAAACTGAAAAGAGAAAAATACCAAAGATGGTTGAATTTAACAAAATGATAAACACAAGTGGTGTAAATACCAACAAATATGAGTGGTTTAGCATATTTCTTTTACCATACATGAGGTGGGATGGGACAATAGAAACTGCTCAAAATATTATGACTGGACACACATTAATAAAAGCTTTAATTCAACTAAATCTTTTTTTAAGCTTCTAACTTTATTACTACAGCTTTGATAACATTATGACAGACTCCAGGTTTAATTGTTTTTGAGAAGTGGATAAACTTCCACTCCACCATTGCCTTAACTACTAACTTCTTATTAATCATACACTAACATCAGATGCATGTTTCTGTCTCTTGTTGAAAAATATATATGTAGGTTCATCTGTAAGTTTAGTTCACAATGTTCTTTTGTCTTTGTCAGCCTTTACTATTTTACATTTCAAGGCTTCTTGTAACCTGTAAACAACATTTCATTGGCCAGACAGCCTAACACAGACTTGGTTAATGTTCATTCCAATAAAATAATGTTGTGCATTCCTAAATTTTAAATTTTGCCTAAATCTTCAAAATGAATAGTAGACCAAAGTGAAACAAACTGTGGTGTTATGGTTTTCCATAATTGTCTCCAATTCATACAGTGAGGAAAATAAGTATTTGATACACTGCTGATTTGGCAAGTTTTCCCAATTACAAAGAATGGAGAGGTCTGTAATTTTTATTGTAGGGACACTTCAACCGTGAGACACAGAATCTAATAAAAAGATCTAAAAAAAAAAAATCACATTGTATGATTTTTAAATAATTAATTAGCATTTTATTGCATGAAATAAGTATTTAATACCATAGAAAAACTGAACTTAATATTTGGTACAGAAAACTTTGTTAGCAACTACAGAGGTCGGATGTTTCCTGTAGGTCTTAACCAGGTTTGGAGATGCTGCAGCAGGGATTTTGGCCCAGTCCTCCACATACAGATCTTGTCCAGATCTTTCAGGTTTCGGGGTTGTCACTGGGTAACATTGAGTTTCAGCTCCATCCATAGATTTTCTATTGGGTTCAGCTCTTGAGACTGGCTAGGCCACTCCAGAATCTTGAAATGCTTTTTATGGAGCCACTCCTTAGTTACCCTTGCTGTGTGTTTTGGGCCATTGTCATGCTGGAAGACCCAGCCATGACCCATCTTCAGTGTCTTACTGAGGGAAGGAGGTTGTTGGCCATAATCTTGTGATACATGACCCCATCCATTCTCCAATATGATGCTGTCATCCTGTCCCCTTTGCAGAAAAGTACCCACAACGTATGATGTTTCCACCCCCATGATTCACAGTTGGGACAGTGTTCTTGGGGTTGTACTCATCCTTCCTTCAAACACGTTGAGTGGAGTTGATACCAAAAAGCTCTTATTTTGGTCTCATTTGTCCCCATGTCCTTCTCCCATGCCTCTTCTGGACCATCCAAATGGTCAGTGACGAACGTCAAACAGGCCTGGACATTTTGTAGGATCTTAAACTATGACGGCGTACTGTACTAATGGTCCTCTTTGAGATTGTGGTCCCAGCTCTCTTCAGGGCGTTGACCAGGTCCTCCTGATTTTTTTTCTTAGATTCTGTCTCTCATAGTTGAAGTGTACCTACAATACGGTGTTTCCCCTACCATTATACAAGGAGGGCACCCCGCCCTATCAACAGAAACAAGCGCCTTACCTACCGAACTGTAACTTGGTACCTACTTATTTTCCCCACTGTATAGCTACAAGAGGACAGCAAGAAAACAAAAACAGCAACTCTATTGTAAGAAAAGTAAAAATTTTAGACAGCTGAATATAAAACTGATTAAATTTAGTGGTATTTTAAAAGACTGGGTTCTGATTATCCAGTTTATTTAATTTAAACACACTAGACTATTCCTAAACGTACAATGTTATACTGGTGATGAACTAATTAGCCAAGGTTTACAGCTGTAACACTAAATTCTAAATGGATGACCCCCAGTTTGATCAAGTTGTGTACTTTATTACCTGTGTGTTAGATCTGCGTTTAGGTATGTTCACATGACCTGACATATTTTATCTTGGCACTGCTAGAATAAAAATTGTGTTATTTGTGTAAACATGGCAGTTCTGGGTGGAGGAGAGCAGGAGCAGCTGCTTATGGGTAAACACACGATGAAAAGGGCATTTCTACTGAAACATCTGTCCTCGTTCTTTGTCATGAGTTACACTTAGGTAATTTCTTTTCTTCATGAGGTATTAAACCCTAATTGATGTACTGAACCAATCCAAGATGCAAACTTATTGCAGTTTCTGAGTTGATACAATATTACACTTATCAAATCCCTCAACTGTTTTACTGGAAAAATTGTGAAATTTTGGTTTCAAGCTCTTAAGTTTAGCCTAAAGACGCAGTCCAAGTGGTGAAAACATTGGATCTCAAAAAGTGAAGTCTTGCTGCTAGTTTTGCCAGACAAATGAACACGTTAAAACTAAAACGAACAAAAAATTAAACAACTTTATTTCTTTTTATGAATATATGCACATCCTAGAAAAAAATGCTAACGCATGTACATGAAAGCCTTTAAAGCTTGTTGGTTTGAAAAATGTTCTGATGTTATTATGGTCATATTGAACATTCTTGCCTTCTATCCTCCTTTTTGGACTTTTCTTCTTTTTGAAACAAACACAACCACAAACACATAATTCTCTTTGGCATTTTGCTTTCTTTGTAGTTGTGTTTTTCCACTTCTGACCAGGGTCTCCAGGATTTTTTTTCCTTCACAGTTCCACTTAGCCTGCTTCACTTATCCATCTATAATTCATACAGGTTGAGATATTTTTCTCTTGTATTATTAACAGCCTTTAACCTTTGTTGACTAGTTTGCAAATTGCATTCTTCCTTCACTGCATTCCTTGTGGTTTGAGAGATTCTTTTAGCTTACGTTTACAAACCCAACTGCTGCCCAGTGAACATTGTTTATATCTTGTTTTGAAAACAATAGGAATCAAATATGCTGCATTGAAAGTAGTGACAGGATATATCACGCCAAATTAACAAATGCTTGTGTGTTTTGTGTCTGTCTGTGTGGGATTATTTTCCCCCCTCTATGCTGCTACTAACCTTGGATTGGATTGGCTTGGCTGGACTGGACTTGCTTCTACATCTGGTCTGGTGTGGTTCTGCTCCCCCCTGTGGTTTGCACTGCCCTATGCACCTCTGCCCTCTCGGTGTTCGGCAGGCATCGGTAAACTGTCCACTGCCGATGGTAAAGCTTTTGCAGACCCTGAAGTGCTACGCCGGCTAACATCATCAGTGAGTTGTGCCCTGGACGAGGCAGCAGCCGCCCTGACACGTATGAGGGCTGAAAACACACTTAACGCCGGCCAAGCTGACAAGTATGTATCCCCCTCCCGCCCCCGTTATTTTATAATTCTTTTCATGTTCTGTTTTTGCCTGAAGGTGAGGCGTATGTGTGTTCACCTGTCACAGTAGCAGTAATTGCAGCAGTTTGGTTATTTTCAGCCGTAGTTTAGCAGAAGCGTGTTCAGATGGGGATGTCAACGCTGTGCGCAAATTACTGGATGAAGGACGAAGCGTCAATGAACATACAGAAGAGGGGGAGAGCCTGTTGTGCCTCGCTTGCTCGGCCGGCTACTATGAACTTGCACAGGTATGGAAGCATTGTGGTGGTTTGTGTAAGTTGTTTTGTTTTTGAGAACTAGTTCAATGTGTGTTTTCTAACATTACAATTTCACCTTCCATTCATAGGTTTTATTGGCTATGCATGCCAATGTAGAAGACCGGGGTATCAAGGGGGACATAACGCCCCTCATGGCTGCTGCCAGTGGAGGCTATGTGGACATTGTCAAACTGCTTCTTGTCCATGGGGCAGATGTCAATGCACAATCCTCCACAGGTAAAACTATTTTAATTTCTGTAGTTATTGATGTATTTTCCATTTCCTGTCTTATTAACCTTCCGTTGTCTTCAGGTAACACAGCTTTGACGTACGCATGTGCCGGTGGCTTTGTGGACGTGGTAAAGGTGCTGCTAAAAGAGGGTGCAAACATTGAGGACCACAATGAGAACGGACACACACCTCTTATGGAGGCGGCCAGTGCTGGCCATGTAGAGGTGGCCAGGGTACTCTTGGAGTACGGCGCTGGCATCAACACACACTCCAATGAGTTCAAGGAGAGCGCTCTCACACTTGCCTGCTATAAAGGTCAGAACTCAAATATGACCTTTCTGTTTTGTGTTTTAATGCATTCCAGCCTGCAGACATTTTCATACATCTTGCAAATATTGGTAGTCAACCCCACACCTCACCCCAACACGTAACTGTAGAGCATATAGGGTACAATTTCGGTCATGTTTTCTCTTATTCACTCAAAGTACAATCAGATCTTTTAGCCTTTTAGCACTCCTCCTACTTGCTTTGTCAAGCCCCTGTTAAAAAACATAAAAAAAAAATATTGTAAAATCAGCAACAAACATTAAACAGTTATGGCTGTTGGAGAATGTTGCACTCATGAGTATATTTGACTGATATTGACAACTGTCATAGGCCATGTTTATCTATACTTATCAATTACTAAGTAGAAAAATAATAGTCAGCAGCTACAACTAGTATACTGGAGCTCACAAATTATAATTTTTTTTGGGGTGGGGGGGGGGATGAATGTTCTATACATTATTTTTTACAACTTTATTGAAAAACAAAATGTTTAGACTGGGCTCAGTAAACGCATATCAAAACCAAAAAATAGACACATGCATAATCAAGTAACATCTAGAGACTAGTCAAATAAAATAAGACAGTCGTGACCATCTTTGCAGGAAAATATCCATTTTCATTTGTAATTGGGCAGTCAGACAGTCCATCACAGACACGTTTCAATTTTTGCATCCATTGAATAATATTTGGTGAGCAGGGCTTAATCCAGTTTAGGGTAATAGTCTTTCTTGCTACTAGCAACAGAATGTGCAAAATGTAACATTGATTTTTAGTGAGTAAATTCTTGGGATATATGTCCAACAGAAATAGAAGTGGATCCATGGGAAGTTCTGTCCTTAGCTATATATTATTTTTAAGTGTACAAGTTTATATATGGATTATTAAATATCATTATATGTTTATAGAAGTTGCTTTAATAAATTAAAAACATACTGGCCAAAACTATAAAATTGGTGTTGTATATCGGCCATCGACTGACCTGATATCTAAGGAAGGATTGGCATTTACTATAGAAAAACTAATCTTGGTCAACCTCTTGAGTGATGCAGCCAATTTAACCATTGGTTGTAATCTCATTATAATGGAAAATGTAAATATTAAAAAAGCAGTTTTTATGGCCGTTAACAGGAGAACAACCTCTGGAGATATTAGTGTTTTTTGGGGGAGATCACCAAAAGAAGAGGGGTTTCTTTGAAAACACTAGTTTACATTCCCTGTAGGTGTTGCCAGAAAAATAAAAAATTATAAACTATCGTACTGTTAAAAAAAAAAAACATTTTTAATTTTTCTGGCAACCCTTATGCCGACCTCAGCTGCCACTGTCCCTACATTCATTGGTTCTGCACCACACAGCACTAGTTAAGGGTCTGCCCCCTGCCAGTACCCACACCCACTCAGCCCAGTTTATGGAACCACCTTGTTCGTAGTTCCAAGCGAACTGCTCCAAGGTGACGATTTTGACGTAAGCAGACAGCAGCCGTTGATTGACCAGCGTCACTGGATGACCCTCCCAGCAAAACTGCAAACTACATCTGAACCTCCACTTCCTCTCTGATCGTGTAGTGTGGTTTTTGCTAGTTTCTGGTATGGGAGCTCCAAAAATAGTGCCATGGACCAGTGGTGAGGTATGGGCCTGGGGATGAATGTTCTATATATTATTTTTCTTAGCGTGAGCTGGATGACCCCACAAGAAATTAGCACAATTACAGAGAGATATCGGAGATGATGGCTACACCCTGACATGAGCAATGCCAGGACATGCTAAAGAAATTAAGGGCCACAACAGGCGGACTGGCTTGATCACAACGACCTGTTACGATACCACCCACTTTGCATTGACGATCCTGCCCACAGAGCAGGGAAACGAGTCACAGTGGAAAATCACCTACACCTGAGAAGATCCGATAAGACGAGAACCGAGGGGAGTCGCACTTATCAGTGGCATAGCTGCTTTATTGTAACTGTCGTTAGTAGAAAAGCTTTTGCAACCTGTAAATGAACGGCCGAACCGTAGCAGAAAAGCTGCGGGTTCACTCAAAGTCCCTCCTCAGGCCCAATTTATATGAGAACAAACTGGAAACATTATAGATATTTTAATATTAATTTTAAATATATTTGTTCACATGGTAATGTTGTGATTCCAAATACACCTTTTCTGTCCTGTTGGTTACCTTTTGTGTATGTGATGTTATGTAGCATCTTCTTGGCTAATTCTTTCTTTCACATGATCTGTTTTCTGCAGGTCACCTGGATATGGTTCGCTTTCTGTTGGAAGCTGGAGCAGACCAGGAGCATAAAACTGATGAGATGCACACAGCACTGATGGAGGCCTGCATGGTGAGCATATGACCCAAACCTCAGTTTAACAACAAGACTTGGTTTAAGAAACCAGATTTGGTGTTGTTTGACTGCATTTTTCGATTTCAAAAGTAATTTTTTCTTTGTTACTTATCACAAGTTTTATTTTATGTATAACTTGCTGGGTTTGCAAGGTCAAGGTTGGACTCTAAAAGATTTTTAAAAAGTGTGGTTTGTCAGGTTTTTTTTAAACTGCATTTTTATCTTTAAAAAATGCAATTAAAGTATAAAGATTTAATCATTAAACTGAAATTGAATTTTGAGTTGTACTGTATGAAGATCTGTAGTGAACCCTCAGATTTGAATCATCCTTAGTTTTAGCCCGAGTAGATGGTGTTTATTTATTCAGGTGCTTATCTCTACATTCTCTGTGTCTCGCTGTCCCAGGACGGCCATGTGGAGGTGGCACGGCTGCTGTTGGACAGCGGTGCTCAGGTCAACATGCCAGCTGACTCCTTTGAGTCACCCCTCACCCTTGCAGCCTGTGGAGGACACGTGGACCTGGCCTCCCTGCTCATAGAGAGAGGTGCCAATTTGGAGGAGGTAAAGAAAACATTTACCATTATATAACAGAAATGTATTTAAAAAAGACACAACACTATGCAATTCTTAGATTGAATTATACCACTGTGTAAGTGTTTCATAGTTGGGATCAAATGTCCCTACTACCACTAAGATCTAATACATTGAACACTGGACTTGTTTTTTGTTTTTGTTTTTCTCCTCATTGCAAGTGGACAAGTCTCTTTGGTAACAGGTTTTCGGGAAATGAGCCACACTCGCTTTTTTTTTTTTTTTTAGATTTCTTATGTTACTGTCTCTGTTTGTGTCCAGGTTAATGATGAAGGTTATACTCCTCTGATGGAAGCAGCAAGAGAAGGACATGAGGAGATGGTAGCACTGCTGCTAGCTCAAGGTATGAAAGCTTTCTTTTCTCATTTGAAGAATGAAAAGTTGAGGTGCCAATCTGAGTAGATTTATTGGCCTTCTTTTAATTCTCGTTTTTTGGAAGAAAGGAAATGTTTGAAACAAACTCAGACCCCATGTGTTGTAGGTAGCTTCGTGAAGCCATGCTGTCATCAGTTCCTGACTTATTATCTGCTCTCCAGGTGGTAACATCAATGCCCAGACAGAGGAGACCCAGGAGACTGCTCTGACTCTGGCATGTTGCGGAGGCTTCTTGGAAGTGGCTGACTTCCTCATTAAGACGGGTGCTGACATCGAGTTGGGCTGCTCTACTCCTTTAATGGAGGCTGCACAAGAGGGCCATCTGGACTTGGTCAAATACCTGCTGGCTGCAGGTGAGCAAGAGAAGCAAATAATAAATAAAGCAACAACTACAAGCTTCATGGCTGTTTTAAAAACACTCCGTCTGTACTTGTGTGCTTACAGTCTTAATCTCTGTCTGCCATTCAGGAGCAAACGTTCATGCCACAACAGCAACGGGCGACACAGCGTTGACGTACGCGTGTGAGAACGGACACACAGATGTGGCAGATGTGCTGCTTCAGGCTGGAGCCAACTTGGTACGTTTTATAAATGCCATTCGTTTCTCATTTTACTCCAGTCTTTATGTTAATATCACATAGTTGTGCAAAACTTTACACTATTTTAAGCCCAAACTTCTGTTTTGTGTAAACACTGTAAAACATTTTTTTTGTTTTAGGAGCACGAGTCTGAAGGGGGACGGACACCCCTGATGAAGGCAGCACGGGCAGGACATCTCTGTACAGTCCAGTTTCTTATCAGCAAAGGTGTGTTACCGTGTAACGGTTCAGTTTTACCTTTTTACATGAACTCTTTAGATTTTCTGCTCCTAAACTGTCTTAAAACGTAAAGTTGTAGATTGTATACTCTTAACAATGTTATTGGTTGTGCATTATTGACTTCAGTGTAGTGTTTAAACTTTGCTTGTTCTCTTTCATGCTCATTTTACTTAATTACATTTATTACTTTTGCATTTACCATACCATACCAATTTATTTTTATTTATTTATTTAAACTCCATATACGCTGTCAATTTAGTTACTGGTTTATTTTATTTGGAGTTTAAAAAGTTCTGTATTGTATCTTCACGGTAGGTTGTTTTTCTACTCTTTGGTCTTACTCTGCAGTTCCACTTTTTGCATTGTACAAAGTTTAAACCTCTTTTATCTTTTAAGCATTGCCTTGTTCTTACTAAATGTTTGAATGCACACAACATTTGTAATGAATTTTGTGTGCTTTTGTCCCATTCAGGTGCTAATGTGAACAGAGCTACTGCCAATAATGATCATACCGTGGTGTCTCTGGCCTGTGCTGGAGGACATCTGGCTGTGGTGGAGTTGCTCTTGGCACATGGAGCAGATCCTACACACAGACTCAAAGTAATGCCCTTATTCTCCTTTTACATCATTTTTATTTATTAGACATAAATAAGCATCTACCTTTGGGTTTAAAATTGATGAAAACTAAATCATGTTTTTTGTGGTAGGATGGTTCAACCATGTTGATAGAAGCTGCTAAGGGTGGCCACACTAACGTAGTGTCCTACCTGTTGGACTACCCCAACAACATCCTGTCTGTCCAAGCCCCAGATCTTTCCCAACTCACACCCCCATCGCAAGATGCATCTCAGGTACATCCTGCAAAAATTGCAGATGCCTTAAACACAAATCCCCATTTTGTACTCGCACAATACTGACGTATCTCTTGTCGTAACAGGTCCCTCGTGTTCCATTCCAAGCTCTCGCTATGGTTGTTCCCCCTCAGGAGCCCGACAGAGCCCCATCAAACATCGCAACGCCCCCACCCGTCTCTAGCAAAGGTAAATAATGCAATGAGTTACAACTGTTAATGGGCGTCTTTGTAATTTCAGCTCTTGTTATAAGATTCACTTATTGTAACTCTTTATTTTGTTTAAAATTCAGGCGTGCCCAAACAGAGACAGGCTGCCCTTCAACCCGGTGTCCCCAGCACAGTCTGTCGGGGGCCCGAAGCAGAACCTCTGCCACCCTTCCACTTGTGCCCGCCTTTAGAGTGCATCGTGGAGGAAACGGAGGGGAAGCTGAACGAACTGGGCCAGAGAATAAGCGCTATTGAGAAAGCTCAGCTAGAGTCGCTAGAGCTGATTCAGGGGGAGCCACTCACCAAAGACAAGATTGAGGAACTGAAGAAGAGCCGAGAGGAGCAGGTAGAGACAATCATTCATTTAGGATCTGAGCTACGAATTACATTCAAATTTACACTCCAAATGCTGTTTTGAATACATTGAGTTCTATCAAAAATACTCAAAGGTGCTGTTTTTCTATTTAGGTGCAAAAGAAGAAGAAAATCTTGAAGGAGCTGCAGAAGGTGGAGCGCCAGCTTCAGCTAAAAACACAGCAACAGTTCACCAAAGAGTACATGGAGGCAAAGGGCTTAAAAGAAGATCAGGAGGCAGGACAGAGCCAGGGTCCAGGTCCGGGGCCTGGGAGTATGACTACTGCCCCAGGACCCCTGCCCACCCCACTGGGTAGTCAAGTACACACTGGCTCTGACACCGATGAAGAGGCCACTAAGGACAGGGAACAAGAAGAGCAGCCCGTGGATGAAGGGGAAGAGGTGAAGCTAGTTTTGACAATATTAATACCAGTCTGCATTCTTATGAATTGTAGAAACTTACGGTGCCTTGTGTTTGTTTTCAGGATGAGGATGACGAAGAAGAGGAGGAGGAAGAAGATGAAGACGAAGAGGAAGAAGAAGAAGAAGAGGAGGAGGAGGAGGAGGAAGAGGAAGAAGAGGAGGAGGATGGTTCAGAGGACAATGCAGATGAAGAAGAGGTTCATTGCCCCACGCTTCCTCGGGTGGGCACAATCCTCTACAGGGATGGGCCACAGCAGCCTCCTCTTCCTCCTTCTCCACAGCCTCAGCCTCCTCCCCAGTCTCTCCAGGCCACCTTTGTCCCTATCCAGCCTCTGCCAGACTACAACTCTGCAGACTACCTGGGAAGCACCAACCCAGAGCTGCAGAGGGTGTTTGTGGAACAGCAGATGTTGGGGCAGCAGCAGCAAGGTCAGGGTCAACAGATAGCTGGGTTTGGCCCCGGAATGATACCTCAGTCGGCTCCAGATGGGCTCATGGTAGCGACACCTGCACAGACGCTCACAGACACACTGGATAATATCATGGCAGGTAGGTTTGTCTGTCAGCAAACATTTCTAGATATGTTTCCAACTTGCATATTCTTAATCTTATGTATTTATTGATTCTGTATTGCAGATGTGAGCAGTCGCATGCCCATGCTGAACACTACAACTTCACCCACACCCCCGTCCCAGCCGCCCACACAGATGTCTGCGAGCATTGCCTCCCCCCCTTCAGTCTTGCCCCTCTACCCCTCCGTTGACATAGACGCACACGTAAGAAGCAAACCGGTTTCATTAGACCTGAACTTTGTAACGTTCGGGACTACGTGTGAAAAGTGTCACTTCTTGTTTCCTCCCAGACGGAGAGCAACCATGACACGGCACTGACGCTTGCTTGTGCAGGAGGGCACGAGGAGCTTGTGTCGGTCCTGATTGCACGGGGAGCCAACATTGAACACCGGGATAAAAAAGGTATAAAGAAAGGAGAATTTGTTCACTTAGGAAAAGGGCTTAAACAGTTTAGATTTGTTGTAGGAAGTCTGAATTTAACGCAGAACATTAATCTCTGCTTTCCGCAGGTTTTACCCCGTTGATTCTGGCTGCCACTGCTGGTCATGTAGGAGTAGTTGAGGTGCTCCTTGACAAAGGGGGGGACATTGAGGCTCAGTCAGAGAGAACCAAAGACACGCCCCTTTCCCTAGCCTGCTCTGGGGGGCGACAGGAGGTAAGTCATTTTTCCCTGGACTTCATATTGACATTTCATTTTAATGTTTTCCTGGCTTCAGCAATGTTGCATAACTTCTTCTTTTTTTAAATATAACATTTTTGAACAGGTTGTGGAGTTGCTGCTGCTGCGGGGAGCCAACAAGGAACACCGCAACGTTTCAGACTACACACCTCTCAGTTTGGCTGCTTCTGGAGGTTATGTCAACATCATCAAGATACTTCTCAATGCTGGAGCTGAGATCAACTCCAGGTGAGCGGCAAGAGTCCTCTTCCATGTGTGGACTCTTTTTTTTTTTTTAATCAGGCGCTGGAGTTACAGATGAACCTTTTTTTGAATGTTTAAATAGGGCTGGACGATGTGGCCAAAACATGTTTCATGATATGTTTCTTAATTTTGGTCGATAACGATATAATTCGACATCGATATAAACAATATAAAAGCCTCAGAAAAACTACAAACTGTACAAGTAAATTAATGTTCACCTTTTATTTGTATTTAGCCTTCAAAGAAATTGGAAATCACAGTCAAATAAACACAAACCTCTAAATTTTGTCAATATTAATAGTTTTAACTTTAAACAACAACAGCAACGTTTGCTGCATGCGTTTCTCTTTTGATGCAGCTGGGGGGCTTGTTTCAGGGACACGTTGGCTCAAACTTTATTGTGTTTCATCTTCTGACTCAGCATATTCTGTCGAGTGGAACAAGTTAATGTTCTCACCGCTAGTTGTAACGACTCTCTGTCACATTTTGCAGCACACTTAGATATCCGAATCACTTCCACACTGCCAAATTAGTCTTTCCTCTTATCAGTTATGTCATCTGCTTTCTCTTCACTTGTGAAAGCTTGTTCAGTCACATTGTGACGGTCATGGGCACTCATTTTGAAGCAAAACCTTACTGCATATTGGAGCTTAGCCTAGCTTAGCCTAGCCTAGCCTGCTACCGCTGACTCCTTCAAGCTGTGGTGTACGTCACCACGCACTTACGTAGTTGTGTCACGGCTTTTTCTGTTCGGGTTGAAACTGAAGCGGCCGTTTCAACCCGAGTAATGTATATCAAAATATCGAAAATGTGCTTAAAACTCATATCACCATTATTGAATAAAATTATATCGTGATATATATCGATATTGAATTATTGTCCAGCCCTATGTTCAAACATTTGCTCTGATTTGTAAAATTTATTTCACTGGGAGAGTTTGAGGCATGTAAAGCACAAAATATCACACAAGTTTAATGGGAAAAAAGTTTTATTTAGGTTTATTTTTTTAACAGATGGCATCTTGACAACTGATATGTAATTTCTATATTACCTTTTATAATAAATAATAAAGAGCTATGTGTTGTCATCATTGTATGGGAACATACAATGATGAAATTGGTTCTCTGCATTTAACCTATCGCACCTGGGATACACCCAGGTGGAGCAGTGGGCAGCTATGTAAGCACCCGGTGAGCAATTAGGGATAAGGTGTCTTGCTCAAGAGACATCACGACATGTGGGAATGGCTGGAGATTTAACCTGGGACTTTCGGGTCCCGAGTTGGCTGCCCTACCTCTACCCCATCTCGGCCTCTAAATTGTTACACTGCTTCTTATCATCGTTACATCAGAAAAGCAGGAATTGTTGTGATATGTAATAGTTTTTTTTATATATCAAGACACATTCTCAGTGATTTACTGTTAAAAAAAAAAAAGGTGATCAGTTTGTGTATCTTTCTTCTTGGTCCCATTAGTGTTTTTGGTTTACAGTAGTTTATATTGTATCTTTTTTTTTGTTTGCTCCTGAATGTTTACTTTTTCATCAGGACTGGCAGTAAGCTGGGGATTTCTCCTCTCATGCTGGCGGCTATGAATGGTCATGTGCCAGCAGTGAAGCTGTTGTTGGATATGGGCTCCGACATCAACGCTCAGATCGAGACCAACAGAAACACAGCTCTGACCCTCGCCTGCTTTCAAGGCCGAGCTGAGGTCGTCAGCTTGCTGCTCGATCGCAAGGCCAATGTAGAGCATCGGGCTAAGGTGACCAGTCTAAATCACAAATATTAAAGCAGATCAAGCTGCACTTTATTCAGTACTTTTTATTGGGTAGTGTACTCAATTTTTTGTTGTTGTTGCATGTCCTGCTCATGTTGCTCACCGAGTCTTTAATCTTGCAGACTGGTCTTACTCCTTTAATGGAGGCGGCCTCCGGAGGTTACGCAGAAGTAGGCAGAGTCCTGCTGGACAAAGGTGCCGATGTCAACGCTCCTCCCGTCCCTTCATCACGAGACACTGCCCTCACCATTGCTGCTGACAAGGGCCACTACAAGTTCTGTGAGCTGCTTATTAACAGGTGAGGACTGTTGGGCTTTCACTTTTGCAAACGTTTCCCAATTTTATTGTATTTTTTTTAAGAGCTGCCAGTTAAATTTTGAGGTCTGTCTTGCTTTGAAAATGCTGCTTTTGCCCAAATGTTGCTCTTGATTTCTTAAAGTGACACTTCTGTTTTTTTATTTTAAGGGGTGCTCATATTGATGTGCGTAACAAGAAGGGAAACACTCCCCTTTGGCTGGCAGCAAACGGCGGTCACTTTGATGTGGTTCAGCTCCTCGTGCATGCCAGCGCTGATGTAGATGCTGCAGACAACCGCAAAATCACCCCACTCATGGCTGCTTTTCGGAAGGTGCGTGGACCATTAAACCTGAGACTGTGCGTTGTGCTGCACTTCAAGCTTCTCATGACTAAAACATATACTGAATGTTTTAGGGTCATGTAAAAGTGGTCCAGTATCTTGTGAAGGAGGTCAACCAGTTTCCTTCAGATATTGAGTGCATGAGATATATTGCCACCATCGCTGACAAGGTAAATATTGATTTATATTTTCAGTCATTTTTTTAATGCAGTTATTGACCTCAGTGAGGTGATCAGAAGTCAGAGCTATAACCTCTTGTTTCCTGAAGGAGCTCTTGAAGAAGTGTCACCAGTGCATGGAGACCATCGTCAAGGCAAAAGACCAGCAGGCAGCTGAGGCCAACAAGAACGCTAGCATCCTTCTCAAGGAGTTGGACTTGGAGAAGGTAATGTCACTGGACTAGAGCGGGAAAATTTAAATAAAAATGAGTCACTATAAGGAATTTTCCAATACTGAGTTAGTTTCAAATTCTCCATCTCAAAAGTTTAATAACAACTAGTTTGTTGAAATTTGGCAGTTTGTCATCAGACTAGTTGTGTGAATGTTTTTGAAGCATTCACACTATTGTGATCCATTTTTTCTTCTTTACGTTTTTCAACATCTTTCTCGTTCCACAGTTTTTGTGCTATTTAAACAAGTCAAGTATCAAAACGTTCAGGTCGTTCAGGAGAAGGGTGCTATGACTTGTTATTGGTGAAACTTTAGCTTTTGGATATATTTAGCTTTTTCTGCTACTTTTTTCTTCTAGAAAATGAATTGAGCTCATTTTACATCCTTCAAATCTTTAGATGTGTTTACAACCTTTTACTGCTCCTTTCACATTTTGTTCTGGTTCAGCTTCTTTCAGCTTCCTGTGCAAATTTAAAGTTTTTCAGTTAATTTCGGCTGTTTTGTGATCGTTTTAGATCCTCTCTGCTAACAACAACATTTTTGCGCTTCTTCTAGCTTCTTTCTGCTAATTTCAGCTTGTTATGCTCCTTTCAGCTTATTTATGCAAGTTTTAGCTTTTTCTGCTATTTTAGCTACTATTAGCTGTTTTTGTGCTAAATTTATCCTTTTCAGTTAATTCCACATTTTGGAGCTCATTTCAGCTCCTTCCACTTCTTTCTGATAGTTTAAACTTCTTTCAGCCTTTTCAGCTACTTCATCTATTTTTGTTAAATTCAGCCTTTTTTAAGCTGATTTCCTCATTTTTGCACTCATTTCTGTTTATTTCAACCTAATTCAACAAATGTGTGTTCAATATGTGTTCTTTGTTCTCTTCTGCTAACTTAGGTTTGTTCTTACATTTCAGCTACATTTCAGAATGTCTTTAGCTATAATTTCAGCAGTTTTTCAGCAAGGTCTTCTGCAATAAGCATTCACACTGCATTTTTGCAGGAAATGCAGTTTCTCTAGTTTTGTTTGCAAGCCTGTAGATTTGAAAACTCCATTTTTATTGGTCTAGAACGGGTGTCAAACTCACTTACAAAAGGGGGTGCAAAATTAAAACCTTTTTCCAACTAAGGGTCAATTTCAGAATCTACATTAACTCAAATCAGATGCCCAGCATATTTTCTTGGTCACAGGTTCCTCAACAAGTGTTTGATTGGTCTCATTAGATGTTCTGTGTTGTGCTTTTGACATCATAATCAAAGATTACTGAAAAAATTCAAGAGATATAAGTATTTTACGTTTCACGTATCATTTTGGGGGCCACATAAGATGTCAATGAGGGCCACATTTGGCCCTCGGGCCTTGAGTTTGACACATATGCTCTAGAATATCATCATGGGATTTTCAACCCTGTATTTAAAAAGAGGAATTCCCAAGCTTCACAATGACAGAAAACATATGAAGGGATTTCCCAGTGCTGTGACAGCTGGCAGAGAAATTGGCCAATTTCAAAGTAAATCCTTTTAGGATTAGAAATAAAATGATTATTTCTGAAGATATGCCTGATGGAAAAACTAAATTTAAAGGTAGATTAGTAAGATTAAACGCTGCTTTATTTACTGTGATCACTTAGATTGTGTCTTTATGGGATTATTTATTTCACAGATCTTAATTATTGCAAAAATTTGAGTGTTTAAAGTTTGATAAATGCTTGGATTTTGAGTAAAGTAATAATAATAATTTTATTTTAAAAGTGCCTTTCAGGACACCCAAGGACACTTTACAGCAAGAAACATATCAGATAAGAGTGTGTAAAAACAAACAAGCACAGTGCAAAGACCAACTGGAATAAATTGAAATATAAAATACATAAAACAAAGTTAAGAAGTATAAGCTGATCTAAAGAGATGTGTTTTCAGAGTAGTCTTGAAAGAAAGAGAGATGGTGTTTCATTAGTCTGGCGGTAGAGAGTTCCAGAGATGAGGGGCAGAGCAGGTGAAGGCCCTGTTCCCCATGGTGGAGAGGCGGGCAGAGGGTACATGGAGGTGTTGCGAAGAGGAGGATCTGAGAGAGCGAGAGGGGATGGAGATGTGTAGGAGGTCGGATAGGTAAGGAGCGGCAAGGTTGTGGATAGCTTTGAAAGTGAGAAGAAGGATTTTGAAGACGATGCGTGATTCAACTGGGAGCCAGTGGAGTTGCTGCAGGACTGGTTTGATGTGATTATAGGAGGAGGTTTGAGTGATGACACGGGCAGCTGAGTTCTGGACCATTTGTCGCTTCTGAAGAGATTTGTTGGTGAGGCCATAAAGAAGGGAGTTGTGTAGTAAATCTGGGAAGTCACAAGACTGTGAACAAGGATGACAATGGAGCGGGGTGTGAGAGAAGGATGGAGACGATTGATATTTCGGAGATGGACTAGGCAGATCGAGTAACGTTGTTGATGTGTGAAGTGAAGGAGAGTGTGATGTCGAAGATGACACCAGGACTCTTAACCTGTGGCGAGGGGGATAGCAGAGAGTTGTTCGGGGGGATGAGAAGATGTTCTGATTTTGAAATAGAGCTTTTGGTACTGACGAGGATGATTTCTATTTTGTTACTCTTTAGTTGAAGGAAATTGTTAGAAAACCAGTGATTGAGCTCACTGAGACAGTCGGTGAGGATGGAGGGTGGGCGAGTGGAGTTTGGTTTGGTTGACAAGTAGAGCTGTGTGTCATCAGCATAACAGTGGAAATAGACACCAAATTTATGGAAGATGTGACCTAGAGAAAGAAGGTAAATGATGAAGAGGAGGGGTCTGAAAGCAGAGCCTTGGGGCACACCCACGGAGATGGGAGAAGACTGAGAATGGAAGGATTTAAGCTGAATGAATTGAGTGCGGTCACAGAGATAAAATTTGAGCCAGTCTAACAGAGTACCTGAGATGCCAATGGAGGTTAGTCTGTTGAGGAGGATAGAATGACAGATTGTGTCGAAGGCAGAACTTAGATCAAGTAGAATGAGGATAGACAGAAGACCAGTGTCAGAAACGAGAAGAAGGTCATTGGTAATTTTTATTAGAGCTGTTTCGGTGCTATGGTGGGGACAAAAACCAGATTGAAACTCTTCATAAATGTTGTTGGATAGGTGAGAGTGAAGCTGACTAGCAACGACTTTTTCAAGAACCTTGGAAATAAAGGGCAGATTAGAGATCAGACAAAGAGTACTTAAATTGGTAGAGTCAAGAGCTGGTTTCTTGATGATGGGGGTAATGGCAGCAGATTTAAAAGCTGTGGGAACAATGCCAGAGGTTAGTTAGAGAGGAGTGGGTGATGATAGGGAGCAGAGACGGGAGACAGGATTTAACAAGAACTGTGGAAAATGGATCAAGCTGGCAGGAGGACTGAATGTCAGATGTCATCAGCAAAGAGGAGGGAGGGAGGGAGGGAGGGGGGAGTTTAACATATATGCTGAGGGTGGTATTTGGGCCAAGGTGTTTAAAAGCTTGAAAGTGTAAATTGTAACCTGGTTAAATAGTTTGCTTTTATCTGAAAGATGTTTTCAGTGTTTTTGTCTTAAAAATGCGACAATTCAAGGTTTAGTGACCTCTGCAATCTGCATGTTTGGTTTTATTGTTATCTTTACATGAGATTTAAAAACCATATGAAGTTAAAAAAGACTTATTCACAAAAATCTTATTTGAAAATTATTTTTATAATGCAGCATATTCTAAAACAAGTGACCGATTTTCAAACTTTTTTTTACAAACCGGATTCCAAAAAAGTTGACACTAAACAAATTGTGAATAAAAACCGAATGCAATGATGTGGAGATGGCAAATGTCAATATTTTATTCGTAAT